AAGCTTTTTTCTTTGGCTACCAGATTGTTTCTAAGTCTGTTGAAGTCTAAAGACTTTTAAATACAATTTGATGTCTGTTTTCTGTTAGGATGTCCTTGGAAAAAGACATGGTTGGAATGGTCTACAAGATGAGTTGACTCAGTGACTATAGCAATGGGCTCAAGTATATCAGGGATGATGAGGGCTAGGATAAGGTTCAGATCGACTGTTCATTGTGTTGCTGTGTCATAATCAAGATGATGACACGTAATAACAGCAACATAAAACTTGACTATAATATAGTAGTTTGAATTCAGGGATCAATACCATGTTTAAAATGTGGGGACCTTTCAGAAGAGCACTGAACATCCCATGGATGGCCAAAAGGAACAACAAATATGTCTTGGAGAGGGTGCAGCCATAGTCCTCTGTGGAGGCAAGAATGATGAGGCTTTGCCTCACATGCTTTGTGCATTTTGCTAGGACTGGGTATTCCTTAGAGTGGGACATGATACTAAGAAGGGTGAAGGGTTAGTGAAGGAGAGGAAGACCCTCGACCAGGTAGACTGACACAGTGATGGCCACAATGGGTTCTAGCGTGTCAGAAAGTGTGAGGATGGCACAGGACAGGACAGGACAGGACGGGGTTAAGATCCATTGTTCATAGGGTCGTTATGAGTCATACTCAACTCGAAAGCACCTAACAACAACAATTGGATTGTAGCTTTCTCTTAAAATATTGGTGTAGTTTGGGTGGCTTGGGCAGCTCAGAGACGTTAGTGGCAAAACAGTTAAGTGCATGGCTACTAATTAAAAGGTTGGTGGTTAAAATCCACTCAGGAACCTTTCAGAAAAAGGCCTAGTCATCTATTTCCTGGAAATCACAGGCATTGAGGATCCTTTGGAGCAAAGTTCTAAAATGACACATACAGGATTGCTATGAGGCCGAACTGATGGCAAATGTTTTTTTTGGGAGATGGGAACAGTTCAGCACTGGAACGCCTGGCTACTCTTGACAAGGATCAAGGCCATACTCAGTTCGCCCCAAAAAGACAAGGCCCAGAGACTAGCCCTTCAGGCAGATGACCAACAGCAGGATTCAGAAGTGCTGTTTTCCCCTCACAGAAAGAAAATAGTGTTTCTCTGGCACAGAGCCACCCAACTCTCCTTCTGTTCTCCCTTCTAGAATGTCAGAACCTCACCTAGAATGTGAGACACTGAAACTTGTACTCCCCAGAGGAGATGGTGAAAATGATAAAGCACTAAGTCCGATAATGGAAGAGTTGGAGGTTTGTGTTCACCTAGAGGCACTTGGGAAGAAATACCTGGAGATTGGCTTCTTCAAAAACCTACCATCAAGAACCCCATAGAGCCCAACCCTGTTCATATAGACATGAAATCTTCATGAGACGGGATCCAATCCACGGCACATAAAAATAAAAAAAAAACTTCACTCAAATCTGCATCTGCATGAATGGTGGAACAGAGCTCCCACACACATTCCATTTCCTGATTAGATCCTGTTCTTGTCACACATAATTGGCTTTCTGATTCCACACTAGATCCATAGGCATCCCTTTATAACATCTACTATTTTTCTTGAGAAGGTTTTGAGAAATTTAAGGTCACTAAGTAAATTTGTGAGAGATGGGGTTGGCAAGTTTCAAAAGGTCAGGGACACTTCCTTGGTCCCACGCCAGCGGATGACAGACCATTTCATGGAGTGGAAGGAGGTTGGATGGCACCCTACCAACAGCCGACAACCAAATCCAGAAGAGATATAAGGACAGAGATGCTCTGGATTGGAGCCACTGACAGGGAAAGACATCTACTGGTGAAGAGATAGTGCCACCTGGTCAAGATGAAGCTGCTGCTGCTGTTTCTGGGTCTGGGTCTAGTCTGCGCTCAAAAAGAAGAAAAGGACAATGTCGTGAAAAGCAACTTCGATATGGCAAAGGTGGAGTGAGTGGAGCAAGTGGCTTCAGACTTTGGAGGGATGGCCTGGAGTATTCTGAAGACAAGTGGGCCCTACTGGAGAGCAGGCATTCTTTGATAAGTTAGACAAAAGAATGTTTCTAGACTCTAGAGTTAGAGAGATTGTGCACTGTTAAAAGATGATCATTTGGGGAGACCTTCAGGCTCATTAGTGGGACAGTAAAAAGAGTCCCATGAGCTTCATTAGTTCAATCTACAGACTAGAGTTCAGGGAGAGGCATTTGTCATGTGTTTCCCCTCCCTCTTAACCTTTCCAATCACTTTCTTGATTTATTGCAGGCTTCAGGAAAATGGTATTCTATTCTCCTGTCCTCAGATCAGAAGGAAAAGATAGAAGAAAATGGTTCCATGAGAGTTTTTGTGGAATTTATGCAAGTCTTGGACAGTTCTTCTCTGTTCTTTAAATTCCATACAATGTATGACCATTATTGGCTAGGAAAGGAAAAATAGAAGTGTGGATGTGGCCTTGAGGGAACACATGCACACTGACATTCACATGTACACACACAAGCTGAGTCCGTATCTAAAAATCAGAATCCCTCAGTTGGCATTTAACTGGTGCTTGGTGTGCTTGGGGTGTTTCTAGATTCAAAGACAAGAGTTGACGATAGGAACAGATTTTAATGAAAGTTGAGGAAACAGGGAGTGGAAAAGTAGTACCAGAATCAAGTAAGATGGCAGTATTTAGGCTAAGAGAAGGAGACTTAGAATGAACAGCCCAAATTTTTGTCTACTTCTTGCTAGTTATGTGACCAAGAAAATACACCTTTTCTTCACTTTCATTTCCCCTGAGGTAAAAGGGAATGATAATCCTCCCTCACAGTTTTGTGGGATCATCAAGTGAGATAATGTTTGTCACTCACTCACCTAGGATATAGTAGTACACAGTGAACACACAGTAGGCCATCTAGACAAGCAGTTGTCATGACACTGACAGTACTAATGGGAATAGTGGGAATTAATAATAGTAGTAAGAGAGGCAATGGACTCATTCTTAAAGTATCAAATCAACTTAAATCACACAAAGAAAACTCTTTGGAAATGGAACCAAAGGTGTTCAAGAGTGAAATTATAGAAACTCAAGTCATCGGTAGAGGGCTTAGGAATCAGTACCTAGCAATATCCTCTAAAGATTATTCTGTTTTACAGTATAAATGGAAAGTGTACTGAAATTTCTTTGACTGCTGACAAAACAGATGAAAATGATCTTTATGCTGTCACCTGTAAGTATACAAAGATGTCTTGATGAAGTCTACTTCTGGTGACTTAGTGGTAAGGAAATGTGCTCAGCCTCTTCAAGAACATGCACTTGAATTTTTTTTGTGTGAGAGAAGAATAGGTTAAAGGTGTCTTTTGCTGCTCATGTGCCAAAGAAATCCTGAAATGTGCTCTGTTTTCTCCATAGATGATGGAAATAATAAATTTAAAGCATTGGAAGCAGATTATAATAAGTATATTATATTTCATCTCATAAATGACAATGATGGGAACCCATTCCAGCTGATGGAACTCTATGGTACAGTGTTTTCATGTTAACATTCATCTTTTTGTGAGAAGAGGAGAAGGAAGAAGGAACTCTGGAGACAAAAATTATCTGTCCAGTCTTATTATGCTATGTTTCTCCCCATCTAAAGATAGGGCATTTACCTTTGGGACTCACTCAGGTTGGTGGTGGAAATATGATGAAATCACATCAGAAGGATAACCCGCCAGTGTCAAATCTTAGGGTATTTTATATCCTCCTCTTAGTGATAAATACAGATGACATAGTAATTATCATGCCTTTACCCACAGGCCGAGATGAAGACATAAGCTCAGAAATAAAAGAAAAATTTGTGGAATATTGCAAACAATATGGAATTCCTGAGGAAAACATAATTGACTTGACCAAAGTTGGTAAGTTTAGTTGTCTCTGGCTTTCTCTTCATAAATTTTCACGTGTCATGGATTGAATTGTGGCCCATTCCCACCTCTACCCCAACCTCCTTGTTAATTATGTGTCAGCTTGGCTGGGCCATAATCCTCAGCAATCTGTCACTTACATAATAATGTAATTTGGCAATGATGTGATTACTCTCCAGGATGTGATCTGATGTGTCTAGCTAATCATGTTAAGGGGATACTGGGCTGGGGCGGGGGGTGGATACAACATCTTTACTCAGGTCACAGCCCTGATCAGAAATAATTAGTTTCCTTATAGTGTAGCCTGCACTGTCTTTTATCTTATAAGAGATAAAAAGGGTGAGAAGATAAAAGAGAAAGGGGTACTTCTGAACCATCAAGAAAGAAAAGACGGGAGCAAAGTATGTCCTTTGGACTCAGGGTTCTGGTGCTGAGAACCTCTTAGACCCAGATAATGATTGATGCCAAGACATATGGAGATATCCAAGGAATGCTGGGCCCACAGATAGTGAAAGGAGACAAGACAAGGGTCTCATAGTCAGCAAAAAGAGCAAAACATGCTTTAAAAATGATTCCCTGATTTTGAACTTCTAGCCTTCTAACCTATGAGAGAGAAAAATGTGTTTATTAAAGCCACCCGTCTATTTCTCTTATAAATAGCACTAGATAATTAAGACAGAATTTTGGACTAGAAATTTGGGGTGCTTTAAATGATAGCTAAAATTTGAAACCGTTTTGGAATTAGATAATAGATAGATAATGGAAGCATTTTAAGGTGACTAATGAGTATACAACAACCTGCATTATGCAGATGACACACCTTGCTGAAAGTGAGAAGGATTGAAGCTCTTATTGAAGAAGTTAAAAGACTGCAGCCTTCAATATGGATTGCATCTCAATATCAAGATAAAAAAATTCTCACCACTGGGCAGCATCATGATATAGAGAAAAGATTGAAATTGGCAATAACTTCATCTTACTTGGGTCTACAAACAACACCCTTGGTCTTAGCAATCAGGAGATCAAGAGATGTGTTACATTTGGAAAGTTTGCAATCAAGGTCTCTCTAAAATACTGAGGAGCAATGATGTCAGTTTGAAGAGTGAGGTCCCCCTGATTCAGGCCATGGTTGTTTCAATCACTTGCTGTGCATCTGAGAGCTGGAAAATGACTAAGGATGTTAGAAAAAAAATTGATGCCTTTGAGCTATGTTATTATAGAAGAGTACTAAATATCCCATGGACTGCTAAAAGAAAAACAGATATATTTTGGAGAAAGTGCTTCCAGAGAGCTCCATGTGGCAAATATGACAAAGTTTCATGTCACATACTTTGGAAATGTGGTTAAGAGAGGCTATTCCTTGGAG